TTACTAAGTGTCCAATAAATATTTGAGGACTAGATGGATGTGCACTGCTGACTGTTTTACTATGAAGTCTAAGCTGTCTAAGTTGTCCTAGAACTTGCTATGTAGTCCCAGGCTGGCCCTGAGCTTGTGATTTTCCTACTTCTGCATATGGCATAAAATCTTCGTCTGATACAGCTGAATTTGTTGGAACTCAAACTCATAAGAAGATTCCACAGTACAGCAAGTTCTGTACTAAGGGAAAAAAATCTGGTCAGAAAAGAATGAAGTTATTTAGATGAGTTAGTATAAAAACAAGTGAGGATGAAAAAGAAGAAAATATCTTCTTTTTGATATTCAATGAAGTATAACCAGAGTGAGGATGGAGAGGGAAGTTAAGGTAGAAACAAATTATCTTCAGTGAGCTTTGTAGTGTCTTATTAGAAAGAATTACTCTGAAATTCTAAGGTATTAGACAAAAGGTGAGCCAAACAAGGCTTTAGTCTCAAAAAGGAGTTATGTTTGTTTCTACACAGGGTAGAGTGATCACTAAATCTGAACTTTTAATTCTGTTGTTTTAATTGGTTATTGCTATGGAATGAATCACCCCTCCCCCAAACTTGTCAAATTAAAACAATACACATTTATCATCTCAGTTTTTGTGGGTTAGAGATCTGAACATAGCTTAGCTGGGAGACTCTGGCACAGGGGGGTCTCACAAGGCTACATTCAAGGTGTTGTCTGGGGTTGCAGTCACCTCATGGCTCAACTTGGGGGAGAATTCTCTTCCAAGGTCACTCATGTGACTGTTGGCAGACCTCAAGTCCTCATTGGCCTTTAGCCAGAGACACCAGTTCCATGCCATGCAGTCTCTTCAGAGCAGCTTGTAACCCAGCAGCTGGTTTTCATGAGAGAGAGCAGGAGAGGACAACAGGGAGCCTGAGCTCTGCCAGCACTCCCTGGGCTTACCATGTCCCCCATTATCCATCAGCAGCACGCTTGACAGAATAGTGGAAAGACCTTTTTTGAAGATTCAGTTATGATGGCTGCTAGGTGACAGCACCTTGTGGAGCAATGTCTCCTCTAAAACAGTGTTTAATACAGAGCTATTTACCTTTCATCGGGGAATGAAGGGATAGAAATGGGACTAGCTTCTCTGTTACCCTTAGTGACCTACTAATAAAACCACTGCTTTCCATTGCCATGACTTCAGGCTCTTCTGATCTAAAGGACATGGTACCCTGAGAAGAAGTGTTTCATTGGGTGCCACAATAAGGACGCTATAAAATAAAGTCAGGACGATCTTCTTGGCACTTTAGGTGTCTTATGCTTCTGAATCAGCTTCTGAATCAGCTTCTACTCTATTGTCTGTATGATAGATGCTTATTTCCAAGTGAAAACTGAGATGCTGTTATATAATACGCAAGGAAAAATGTTATCAGTGATTCAGGAAATTCTACAGTCTACCTGTGAGGACTTTCTGTAGTTACATTCAATAGGATACTATATAATAACCTAATTCAGGCAGGACTGCTAAAGGCCTCAACCTTTCAGGAATGAAGGTATGGTTCACTTCACTAGGCAAAGATCTTAAACAGCTAAGATACTTGCTGAGAGCAAAGGGAATAGTGAATGGGTACTGAAAGAAGGCAGCCATAAATACTAGCTAGAATTACATGTACAGTTGCAAAGAAATGAAGAACCTAATAATATTTCTTCTTTATTTTGATAAGGATATCTTAAGTACATACATACATGAAAGTGTATATACCTGAGGTTTATCAAGCATACTAAATATTTTTGGTTTAGCTGCTTCTCTTATTTTTTTAAAGAATATTTTATTTATTTTTATTTTATGTATATTGTCTGCATGTGTGTAAGTGCACCTGTGTTATGTAATGCCCGTGGAGGTCAGAAGAGGGCCTTGGATCCCTTGGAACTGGAGTTATAGACAGTTGTTAGCTGCCATGTGGGTACTGGGATTCAAACTTGGGTCTTCTTCAAGGACAACCAGTGCTCTTAACTGCTGAGCCATTGCTCCAGCTCCTCAATATCTTATTTTATTAAAGTCTAATAGATGCATCAATAGCAATATATTTTTAAGTCTTAAAATTGTGGCTATTAAAGGGAAGAATAATGACTATCAAACATGAACAATGGGACAGTAAAGGACTTCATGTCTGTGGAAAAGGCTGGTATCATTTTTGGTTGTATATGGGAGAAGTAGATTTTTGTTGTTACTGTTTTTATAGTAATAGGGATGGAACCCAGGGCCTTATACATGAGAGACAGGTTTTCTACTGAGCTCTATCCCTAGCGCTTTATGACTGTACATGGCGACAGATGTAACATATTAGAGAGAATCATCACTTCATTAATGTCTTTATGATACAGTCTCACACTGGAGCCCAGACTGGTCTGGTCCTCATTATGTTGCCTTAGTGTGGCCTCGAACTTGTGGTAACCCTCCTGCTTCAGACTTCCAAGGGTTGGGATTATAGGTATGAGCTAAATGCTTGGCTAGTTTATATGTTAAGAAGATATATAGGAGTGTGAAACTGGCAAATGTGGGCTGTGTTAGACTTTTAATATATAGATTTGACCAGGCTGAACTATATTTTCCAGAATTCTTCCTGAGGAAGAATGTATACAAGGGAGTTTGTGAGAGAGGGTGATAGGGGAGACAGGGACTTGAAGGCAGGGAGGCAGTAGCCGTTCCCAGTGTACATATGCTGTCTCTTATCTGCTGGCTCATCTTGTGGTACGAGGCAAAGTAAGAACTGTAGCTGCTCTACTTTCTCTTGGATTATCCCTTGGCATCTCTGACTACTGAAGCAACCATGAGTGTGTTTAGGACCATGATAAAGTGGAAAGAATTCTTTAGGACACATGTGTCATGGATGACTGAGGCAATATGGGGTGAAATGGGTTAATCCTCTTTGACTCCAGCTCTTGCTTATGAGCTCCTGCTCATTTTTGTTCTCTTTCATTTTACATCTAACTGCCAAAAATACCTGTTCTAGGTACTAAAGCTCTAGCATCAAATACAATGTCAATACCCTTGAAAAGACTGTTTAACCATGTCTATTCAAATACAAGCCACAAACATATCCTAGTAAGTCTTCATTCTTTGTGGATTTCAGACTTTTGGATTCATCCACTCCCAACAACTTATTTGTAACCCCAAATCAATACTCATGACATTCTTGTCATTTCCATACATATACTTACATGGAGTGACAAAAATCTGAATCATCATTGCTGAGTTTCAGAAAGACCTTGTTTTAGCTATAATACTGTAAACGAGTGGATTTAATGGACTATTTAGTATCATGTTTTTCATATTTCTGTTATTTTTTACTTCATTATTTCAAATGACCCCTGAACACGGTGCTGAGGTACTGTCTAACATTCCTTAGTTCAAGAAAGTTGTGCTGTAGCTTGTGAGAAAATGTATGTGATGAGTTTTGTTCAGGCATGAATTACAGTGCTACTGGCTATGAATTTGTTCTTAATAAATCAACAATCCCTGCTAAAGATGTATCTTGAAACAGAAACACACATCAAACAAGGAATTTTTATTGATTGACAAAAATGTGACCAGAGGCACACAGATATCTAACCCTACATTTCCTCTAGTAGTGATAAATTAGTATTTCTAATTCAGTGCTTGAAGTGATTTCATAGTATATGGCCACCAAGAACAGTGAAAGAGTCAATTCAAAAATTTCAATATATGGGGCTGGAAAGGTGGCTCAGCAGTTAAGAACACTGGTTGTTTTTGCAGAAGACTCAGGTTCGAATCCCAGCACCCACATGGCAGCTAACAACTGTCTGTAACTCCAGTCCCAGGGGATCTGACAGCCTCTTCTGACCTCCGTGGGCATTGCACGACACAGGTGCATTACCTACACACAGGCAATACATGCATACACATAAAATAAAAATAAATAAAATTTTGAAAAAAGTTCAAAATTTCAATTTATAATTTATGTATACAAATATGTCATAGCATTGGTATCTCCTAGTAGTTCTATTTCTCTGTTTAAACCTTGACTGTCAAATCTAAAAATTGTGGCTGTAAAATAGTGAAGTTGGTTAAAATTTACATATAGTGACATTTATTTATAACAACAGCTCATCACCTAGAATTTGAACTGTTCTTTACATTGTTTCTTTCGAATATATAAACACATCTACTTTGTGATTAGCTATCATCCATGGTTGACACATGAAACAGTCTGTGTTCCAAACTTTTGCTCATTTTCCAGCATTCATAGCCAGAGTAAGTCCAATGCTACCATTAATCAGAAGCAGACACCATTGCTCACTGTGTTGATCATAAAGAATTATTAGGAGCTGCAAAATCAAAATATGTGAGCAATGAAAAAGGCCATTCTCTTTGTGTAGTCATGAAAGAGCAAACTCCTAGGCCAGAAATGACTCCCATCTTTCCTTCTAGAGCCCCACTGCTTCTGGCAGTGCTCCCTTCACCTAGTCCTTACTTTCTGTCAGTATCTTCAGAGCCATTTTAGCCTTGTTCTTTCCAATGCTCTGTTTCTTTTTCTTAGAATGCCATCTTGGATACCTTCCCACAATCCAAATTCCATTTGACACAGAAGGCCCACCTACAATCTTCATATGAAAAGAAATTTTTCTCTAATCCATATAATTGCCTTGATTGACTGACATATATCACAGGATTGGTATGCAGATTCTGTATGGCTACCAAGTTCTTTTCTTTTAGTCACTGCCTTGTCTCCCTAAGCTTCAACAACTGTCTATATTATTCTTGAAATGTTTCACCTATTCATCTTACTTACTGAGTCTGTTGGTAAGCATTTTAAGCTACTTGGCAAGTTTTGGTAATGTTTTGAACCTATATTTAAACATTATAAATGATCCAAGACAGAATATAATTCACAATACAGAATTCTACATCTCACTGATGTTTTTCATGTTAAACACACACACACACACACACACACACACACACACACACACACCTTTTATCAAACACATACCTGCAGAGACTCGAGGGCAGTCAGGCAGCATGGACTCCACTGACGTGTCTAATGGTTCTGAACTAGAGACCCAGTTGCAACAGTTCTGTAACATAACAGAGATAATATTGGTGAAATATAATTTAAGTACAGATTACATTTTTAAGTAGAAGAGGTAAATTTGTCCTACATAATAAATCACTAGAAGTATATTCAATTTATGTTTCACATGCTTTATTTTTTCTTACATAAACAGTCAGTGATTATTAATGACTGTGGGGAAAAAATTTTATCTTTTACAATTCAGTAAAAAGTCCAGGTTGATGCCAAGATATGCAACCTGTGAAATATACTGCAATATATTTCTAAGAAAAACTTAGATGTAAAGAAAGAAAGAAACAAAAAGATTATAATTAAAGGTGATTTTTTTTATTTCTGAGAATTTCATATATAAGTATTGTATTTGCATTACTTCCATCCCTCCCATTCCACTTCTCCCACACCCCCCCACACATAATGCTCTGAATCTATTCAGTGATGGTTATGTGTACATATACATGTTTACAGCTACCTACTTGGGTCTAGATAACCTCACAGAGAGCTAGTCCCTGGAGAAACTGATTCTTCCTCATCATCCATTGTTTGCCTGTAGCTCTTCATCTTGAGGTAGGACCTCCCCTCGATGTGAAGTTTCCCGCATTCACCTTGGGATGTCAATTGGTTTTGCCATTATGCAGACCTTCTTGGATTACTATACTGTGGAGATTTTATTGACACAGCTTCCCTATTATATCTAGAATGTATTAACTAGCAGCAAGTGTCTTGTCCCTCTAACTCTTATGTTCTTTCCACCCTCTCTTCTGCAATGCTCCCTGAGACTTGGGTGTAGAGGCTGCATTTATAGATGTATCACTAAAAAAATCCTTTTTAAACCTTTGGAATAAAAATATTAATTTGAACATATGAAATAGCCAATTTCTGAGCTATGCTTTTTTGCATATGTAATACCAGAGAAAATTAATTTTGCATTTACTCCTGAAATCTGGCCCATATTCCCTTTTAGTTTTTGCTCTGATTGGCTTCCATGAAGGCTGTATCAAAACAGTTACATACAAATACAGCCTGGTGAAATACAGCTGTGTGTCTGAGGACACAAAGCTTTCAATATTAATGATCAGTCTCTAAGGTAATGATGACATGCACCTCAGCCAAATGAAAAACCATATTGCTTTTATACATTTTTAGTCTATATTTGAATTCTGGTTTGAAAGATGTGACTAACCTTATATAGTTTAAAAAACTTCCCAACACATTCATCCCCCCCCCCCCTCTCTCTCTCTCTCTCTCTCTCTCTCTCTCTCTCTCTCTCTCTCTCTCACAGAATTTCCAGACGGATTCTATTTTAAAAGAAACATCCCATCAATCATGTTGGAAAAATCGGTGATTGCTATTCTGGTAAACAAGCACGTATTTTTAGATGCTTGCACCATAGAATCTGTCCTCACTGTGGAAAGATCCTTGACTGGTAGATCAAGTGTCTTATTGTATTTTCTTAATTCATTCTGTCTGGAAGAAGATGTCAGCTGTGTTGCAGTGAGGAGAGAATTTCAAAGGACCCAGTCCCCACCAATAAAGGCCGAGGAATGGCTTTTGAATAGATTTGTCAAGGCAACCCTACTGTTCTGGGACCAGAGAGAGCAGGAATAATATAAAGGAAGGGTTGCTGGATGAGATTAGAAAGTGAAGTTCACAAAGCATGGCAGATTTTTGTAAGAAGCAGTGGATCAATGAAACTATTGAACTGTGTAGGGAAAAAAAAACATGAAAACAAACAACATCTAGTAATGTTCTTAAATGCTTTCTCTCGTTTTATATTTAAAATGGTTAAAATATTAGTATTTTTCATGTATAACAAAAGCTTACTGGTTCAGAATGGATACATATTCTATAATGTGCACTCCTAATCTTAATTAGCAGCTGAATGCAAAATTATACAATGTAAAAAGGAGCAGAAATTATAAAAGAAAGAGGGTTTGAGAAGATATTTCATACATTTGAAGTAAGTAAAATTAATATTACCATTGATAGAATACCACATCAGAGAATTCTAGATAATGCAGAAGATTAGCACACAATTAGCCAGCTTTTATATACAATGTGACACTTGCTTGTAAGAAATAAGTATTCTCCAAAGCAGTGTCAAGATATGTAAATGGATGATTTGTTTTATCATTCATCACAGCCCCTAATAAATTCAAAAACCAAGACTTCTATAGGCACTAAAAATAGGCTCCCAGTGATACAGGAAGATAGCTTCAATGAAGAATGACTTTCTCTTTCTCTCTCTTTTTCTTAAACAATTCAGTCTTTTCAATGACAGCAATTAGCACTACCAACAGACAGGCAGCGATTAGGTATATATTTTAATTATTATTCATCCTACTAGTACCTCCAAATCTGATGAAAGTTGGCTATTACCCAGGTGATATGTCAGTCTTAATACTTCTCTCCTACACCTCACACATGTAAAACTGTGCCTTACAGAATTTTCTAGTATTAATAAAAGTGATGGCACATTATACTACATAGGCAATTAATCATTTTCCTAACTCACTTTGACTTTTAAAAGTTGAACCAAATGAACTTTCATCCATTAATTTTACAGATCACCTTTAGCTCAGATACTGAAAGAAAAATACAGGCTAACATTTTGTGATTCTGGAATTTTAGTTCTCATCTAGGGACATGTTTAAGGCTTTGATCTCTTTTGCAAAATCAGGAAGATGCAAAGCACCCCACAGTTAAAGTGAGTATGTCAGAAAGTTCTGTGGAATTACAAAGTACCTCAGTAGGATTGTAACGGGTTGGAAACCAAGTTTGAAGCATGTATATATGTGCTTATGCATGTGGCCTTTTTACACCACTGGGGAAAGAATAGAGAAAGCAGGGCAAAACAAGCTAAAAAGGTTTGCTATGTGAAAGAGCAAAGTGAAGTAAAATAGCACAAGTGGTAGAAATATATGCAAAGAGACACAGCCATTTCTTATGAACTTTATCTGCTCATCTTCTCACATGTATCTTCCTATCCTAAGATGTGATAGTTTAAAAACCAAGTTTCTTTCATGGTTGTTCTAATGGTTATCTATCCCTCTCCTACTGCCCCAATTGATCCCTACCCCAGTTTTTTACATAGGATGAAGCATCCTAGGTGGCCACACACTAGAAAACCCTTCATAAATGTGAAACATGCTGGAACGTGTTAGCAGCCTATGAGATCTTAGTCCCTGCTGCATAGAGAGTAGTCAAGAGGCAGCTGAGGAAAGGTGCCCACAGTACTATTTTGGAGGCTCACATGCAACACTCTCTTGTTCTATCAAGTGTTTCTCTGGGTCTAAAGAAAAAAAGCAAACTAGGTATTATAATGAATGTCTCTTAAAGTTAAGTGTTTTCAATATAAAAGATTTTTTTATACTCTATGATCCTGCATATTTTTATGAAAGTTTTGTGAATTTAATATAAAACATCTTAATCATTTTTATACTACCTCCCCAATTTGCACCCTCTATAGGCCCTTCCCCTCCCCCCACTGGATTTCATACGTTCTGTCATATATGTTAAGGACTATCGAGCAAGTTAGTGTACCCAGACATCCCTCAGTGTGAGTTCATCCACTGGGGTCTAGTCAGCCCATCTAGAGTCTTTCTCTGCAGATTTGTGTCACTGTAGATTTGTGTCACTGTAATTTTCTTATGTAAAACTCTTGGCATGAGGACTAGTGTTAGGGATTGAAAGCCCCTAAAGGCCACAGTGCTGAGTGACAACCTTTGGCTTAAGCCAAGGATGGACAATATTTGAGTAGACATGAAATGAACTTTTGCTTTTATTTATTTTAAAAGTTTAATTAAGTTTATTTGTTATGTTTGTGTGCATGTCTGTGTGTGTGTATGTATAGTGTGAGCACACAAATGCCAGACTGTGAGTGTGGAGCAATTTCACCATGGGATCTGGGGGTTGAACTCAGGTTGTCAGGCTTACCTAGGAAATACTTTTAGCTGCCGGGTCATCTTGCCAACCAATGAAACAAATTATTTTTGTTATTAAAATTCTTTTTATGTGTGTGTGTATGCCACATGTATACAGGTGTCCATGGAGGCTAGAAGAGGATGGATTCCCTGGAGCTGGAGTTACAGGTGGCTGTGAGTGGCCAACATGAGTGCTGGGAATCTAACTGTACTGTGGAACAGCAGCTAGTACTCTTAATAGCTGGAGACATCTCTCCAGCTCCCAATTTTTAAATAAAATGTAGGATTCAGTAGGATCTATCTGAAGACAAAAAAATAATAGTTAATAATAGTGAAAGATATTAGAGAAGCTTGTTTTGATGAATAAGTCTTGGCTTTTATTCACATTTAACACACTTGTTTGAGTTGTAAATAATTGCAACCTTAAAGGGTGATCCTTAATATGGAAGTTTTTGTGCCCTCAGACATGAAACACCATGATTCACCAGGTTCTGTTTCTAGGGCCTAGAGTCAGGGTCAAAGGGCAATAAGAACGGTTTGTGACCATTTTGTAAATTGTACATCTGGCTTGACTACAGACTTCCAGAAGCCAGGGGTATGTCAGAAGCATGCCACATATTCAGCATGGACAGTACTTGAACTTGATGTGAGAAGTGCCTATTCAGGGCTGCCTTCAGGTGCTTTTTACTTCTCCGCATGGTTTAGCACCTATGCGTGGTCTTTTAGCTCGGTGCATGTTTGACTTTAAGAGACTGCTAAAAGTAGCCATCTTTGACATTTCTTTAGAAAAATTGCTATTTTAAATTACACAATACAACAGTTTACCTCTTTTTAAGGAAATATTTTATTTATTATTTTTATTTTATGTGTATTAGTGTTTTGCCTGGATGTATATAAGTGTGCCATGTGCATGTAATACCCTACAGAGGCCAGAAGAGGGTGTTGGATCCCTGGAACTGGAGTTATGGATGGTTGTTAGCCACCATGTAGGTGTTAGGAATCAAAGCCAGGGTCCTCTAAAAGAACAGCCACTGCTCTTAACCACTGAGCATTTCTCCAGTCCCACCAATTTACTTCTTAACCTTTGCTCTGTTTGCTAAATTGATGGGTTTGAAATACATAAGAGCTTTTTGTGTTTTTTTGTGTTTTTGAGACAGGGTCACACTATGTGGCCCTGTCTGACCTGGAACGTACAAAGATCTGCCTGCCTCTCCTTCCTGAGTGCTGGGATCAAAAGTGTGCATCAACACACCCCACTTTAAGAGCTTTTTAATAGTAAACAAATGCTTAATGTCAACAAGTTTATCCCATTAATTTAAATATGCTTATGAGAAAAGTAACCTATTTTACTATTCTTTAGGAACGACTAAGCAATTGGTTGCACTTCTCTACTTCCAAACTTAAGTCAATATTTGGTGAAATAATTAGGTTAAGAGGAGAGAAGCATGGAGGCTCCCTCTTCCACAGCTGGACTGTTCAGACAGCGTTTCAGCTTAGTGGGGGCTTTCTTGGGAGGAAAGATGTTTGCCAAATACTTTGCTTATCTGTTTGTGTATGTGTGTTCACGTGCACACATATACAAGTATGCCCACATGGAGGCCAGCCATTGAGACATGGTCTCATTGGCCTGGAGATGCTGAGTAGGCTAGGCTCATTAGTAGGCTAGGCCTGCTAGATGATAAGCCCCAGGGACCTGTCTGTCTTGAGCTTCTCTAAGTGGGCTCTAGGGATAGAACTCAGGTCCTGGTGCTTTATCAACTCAACCATCTCCCTGATCCTCATTATTTGTTAAAGAATTCTACATGAAACTAGAATTGTAGTTGGTACAAGTTTGTCTTTTCACATCATTCACTCAACACCCATGCTCAAGACAATAGGCTTCCAGTCTTGTTTTGCTATTCATAATATTGGGGAGTCCTACAGACTGAAGAGTGACTAAGAATAGAGAAAGAAAAAGACAGAGTTTTATTCTGAGAGCTGAGAAGCACTGGTCTCTTGTCTGGCACAATGAAATCATGTCTTCTAGGAGTCTCATATTCAGGTGACTTAGACAGGGATATATGTCATACACTTTCATGCATTCCTCTGTATTTGTACTTGGGGGCAAGCTCTCAGTAGGGATAATTTGAAGGACCTACTAAGAATGATCTAATAAGTTTTATCTCTGGAGTAGCATAGTATTTTCTATAATATGTCTCATTTCTTTATTCATCATGATTTACTTTACAGGATGGTTTTTTGGTTTTCTTTTGAGATGGGGTCTCACTATGCAGCCCTGGCTAGCCCGGATCTCTCTATGTAGGCCAGGCTGGCATTGAACTCACAGAGATTCGCCTGCCTCAGCCTCCTGAGTTCTGGGATTAAAGGTGTGCACTATCATCCCTAACTGGGTCTATTTGTTTTTGACCATTACTTTTGATTCTCATAATATGTCTATGAAATAGATGAAATAGTACCATTTCTAATTCACAATTAAAATTGACCCCAAAAGAGAATGGAGAGTGTAAGATTGAGTCTTAATGAAATGGTCACTGCATGCTGCATGGTAGATTTTCAAGTCTAGATTTACCTAGTGTGTGAATAAGCCAGAGCCATTATCAGAACTTTGTTCTTTTACCTGCTGCTCTTCCAACACTACCCAGCTTCCCTTTTGTGATATTTTAATATGTAAGCCGTTCATGAAGAAGATCAACTATTATAGATTATTTGGGAGTAGACTATAATAAGAGTAATAGTTGAAATTCACTGCGCTTTATTAAAGTGCCAACATCTGTGCTGCTCCATTACAAAAGTAATTTTCCAATCAGGTTTGTCAGGTTTATGTTCTTTAGAGAAAACAATCTTAAAGAGAGTAGATAACTTGCCAAGATTAAATGGTTAGGTAAAGGATTAGGCTGGGACTTTGATTTTGATAGGTCAGAAAGCAAAGTTCTTCATACTGATCCCTTAGGTTAGGACACAAGGGAGAGATCTTGAAGAACTATTAAAGAAGTAAGGCATTTATAAAAGTCTATAAATTTTATAAAAACTATGGTTGCAAAAAACCTAATAACATCCCATCCAATTAAGATGAATTCAACTACTGCCTGCTGACATTTAAATGAGAAATTTAGAGTAATTCATTCTGATTTTAAAGGGAACACATAGTCCAGTCTTAGAATGATTTTTTAAAAGTAAATTTAAATACATTTTTCTATTTGTCACCTAGACTGGCTTTCATAAAGAACTTCTAATGGACTAGAGGATACACGGGAATATTTCTAGTTTGGACCAAGTACCAAATTCCATACTTTTTTTTTTTTTTGTGTGTGTGTGTGTGTGTGTGTGTGTGTGTGAAAACCTTATTTAATAAGCTTACAACTTATACAATGAAAGATGCTTATGTATCCATTTGGGCAGATATAAACATAAGGTGAGATATACATGAAATTTCTTCCTGAAAAAGTTGAGGTTATTTTTTAAATACAGACTCTCTCCCTGTAATCGCAGTTGACCTAGAACTGACTATGGAGACCAGATGGCCCCAATCTCACAGAGATCTGCCTGCCTCTGCCTGTAGAGTGCTGGGATTAAAGGTATGTGCCATCATGTCCAACAAAGCTGAGATCTTTAGAAAAGGCAATTCAAGAATGTAGCTGTGCCTTGAAAAGAAGAATACTGAAAAGCAATATGGTCAGAAAACATTTCTGTGTTAGGGTAGTTCTAAAATACAAAATATTTCCTATGTTTCAGCATTATGACAACTGGAATACAGATATTTTGGACTGTTGTCTGATCAAAGTACCATTTCCAATGGGGAATGACAACAGTGACAAGAGATTGGGTCTGCTACACCACTGCTATGAAACCACATAGTTGAATCCTTCTGACTATTCAAAACTCCTTTCAAACATTAGCTGTTTGCTCCTCATGGTGCACCATGAAGGATAGGAGACCTGATCACCACATACTCCTGTGGTAAGGTCAGTCAAATAGACATTCAGGTTGTTCTTAAAAAATAGATAAATCACCCAGGTGTGGTGGCCTACACTCTTAATCTCAGCACAGGTGAGGCAGAGGCAGGTGAAAACCCTGTCTCAAACTAACAAACAGAGAATCTAGGAATCGCAGTTCAATCTTTCATATAAATGTGAAGTGGGTGATATGACTAAAGCTGAACTGATTTTGACAATTACTGATGTCAAGTTCTTAACTGCAGAAAGTAAATATAAGCAACTAAATGTCTGGAATAGGACAAGAGAAATAATGGTTTTGAAAGACAGTGGAAGAAAGGCTCAGTGAGTTCTTGTTAGTTTTCAGATCCCCCAAGGAAGTGTGATAGTTTCTGAGCTGGAGGCTCGACCATGGCCAACTCCTGGCTATATTTTTGTTGTTTTTGATTTTTTCTATATTTTTTATTGAATTCCTGTGTATTTAATACACAACATCTTAATCATCTTTATACTCCCTCCCCCATCTGCACCTTCCCACAGCCCCCCACTGAATTTCATGCATTTTGTCAATTATATTAAGGCCTATTGAGTCAAGTTAGCATCCCCAGACATCCCTAAGTGCAAGTTCATCCACTGGGGTCTACTCACCCTATCTTACTCACTTAAAGAAGATCAGCTCTTCTTCACCTAGCAGTAATTAGCTGCCAATATTTCTTTGGCTAAGGTTGGGGCCTCCTGCCCATTTCCACAGTTCTGTGCTGGGTTTCTGTCTGCTTGAGCTCCCTATGTTATAGAGGGCAATGCTCCTGGGTTTCTTTTACTTAGTTCAAGCATGGGCATAGCATTCAGCTTTTTCCTTGTTCCCCTACTGGCAGTACAAAGCAGTACAGAGCTAAGCAATTTCACAGTGATTTCTGTATCAGGTTTCCAGAAGGAAAAGACTGAATGCACATGAAACTTCTTGTAATAAAACAGCTCCAATTCTTAATAGCTGGTGAAAAATCAAACCTCAGGGAGTAAAAATCTTCTAACACAAACCCTGCTTCAGCTAAAATTTTAATGTATATTGTATACATACACAATATTTTATGAAGCCCAAGGAGGAGGAAAGCATGCTTTCAAAAGTATTTGTTCTCCTGAAAGGTTTCCTATTATTATTATAATCATAGCTAGATTTTTGTATTCCATCTCAGTGTTCTATCTCTAGAAAAAGAGTTTAGGATGGTGAAGATGTAAGTTGGTGGGATGACAAATACAAAGGCTCATATCCATTCATCTCAGTACAGAACAAAACTGTGCCTCACCTCTCTCATCCATTCTCGGATGGTTTTGCCAGCTTCTTGATGCCACACATTGTGAACAGAGTCTGTCAATGCCACAGCAGTCACCTTGCTTTTTACATCTGCTTCTCGTTGAATCATCTGTTTAAAAAAAGAAAAATAAAATATAGTCTCTAATTTTCTTCCTGGATGTAGCCTGCTTATTCATAGATAATAATATATTAAAAATGAAAAAGACATGCATCCCTCAAAGTTACTCTTTTCTAAATGAATACACACACTGTTCTTGTTCATGGCTATGAAAAGGCCTAGTATTTTCTTTTAAAAAGATAATAGCACTTAAGTCTTGGAACGACACAGCTCTATTATTTTCCATGTGGTTTGACAATTCAAGGATTAAAGGGATCACAGGGGAATCCCTGAGGGTTTCTTTTACAAATTTCTTCCATCACGTCCTATTTCAGTGCTTCAGGGAAGTTAGCACCTGGGGTTCGCTGTTAGCTACTTAGGACTATCTTCTACTAATTTTCAGTAGATGGCATGCCAGTAAAGAAAGCTATCTTTAACTTCTCTAGTTTAGCTGCCTGTTCTCTACCACGGCCCTGCAATTTCTTGGTGATTTAGATGTTCACAAAGATTATTCTTTTTCACACTTCTGATATTATTTTCCTTTCTAATATATTTCCTTATGTTGGAAAATTATTACATTTTAACTTCTTTCTATACAATGTTTTATCTACAAAATTTATTGTCTTCAAAAAAAAGAAGTTGCCTTATTGGAAGATATTGACCATTTTTATCAGATAAACTGAAAAATAAAAACGGTTTATCAAAAGGAACAATGATATGTTGCAATCTATGAATACTAGTGATCCTGACTTAACATATTAAAATGTAACAAAATACAAAAATTAAAACACATAAATAGACATATTTCATCATAATGCTCTTCTTCTTTGCATCAAATGCCTTTTTATCTAATAAATTCCTATCCTGAAGAAAAAGAGAAAATTCTCTATTATTTGCTATTAATTTCTATGAATTTCCCATAAAAATATAGAAGTGTCTTAATTTCAAGTTATGGGAGGAAATCATGGGCTGTGGTAATAGCCCATATTATTTTGGAAGCCTCTTAGATTAATTACCATGACCAACAATTCCAAGGGAGGTTTCCCTTGCTTTACACTGTGATTTTTGTCATACAGCCTTCAGCTATACACATGCACTCACATTTATATTACAGGTGTATTTTCATTAGGCTTATGAAATAATATATTTCCCTTTGACTTCATACTACCTAAGCATTATTTACCTTTCTTTCCTCTGTCTGTCAGTGAGCCTTCCTTCCTTCCCCTCCTGTTAAAGTACCTCCATTTTCCCCATTTCCCCCTTGGTAAATCTTGTGCCCTACTATCCATCTCTTGAGTTCTTTCTTCTCCTTTCCCCACAGTTCCTTTCTATTCTCCTGGCTCCTGCCCTGTGTTTACATCAGGATATATGCAAATAATTAAGGATTTGGAGCAAGGATCCACAAATGAGAGAGAATATGCATCATTTATTTTTCTGAGTCTGGGTTACCTCATTTAGTATAACAATTCCTAGTTCCATCCATTTACCCCAAAATTTCAAGATTTTATATTTCTTTATTGCTGAACAGAACTCCATTGTATAAATGTACCACATTTTCATTATTGGTTAATTGGCTGAGGGACATTTAAGTAGTTTCCATTTCCTAGCTATTGTGAAGAGAGCAGCAATTAACATGGCAGAGCAATGTCTCTACTATCTCTATAGTAGGAGGTAAAGTATTTGGGGTATATGCCAAGGAGTGGTATAGTTGGAGCATATGGTAAGGACAATATGGTAAATCTATTTTTAGCTTTTTTTTTGGTCTTTCTGGAACTCACTATGTAGACCAGGCTGGCCTCAAACTCACAGAGATCCACCTGCCTCAGCCTCCCGAGTGCTGGGACTAAAGGAATGAATTCTCCACACTGATTTCCCTAAGTGATACATCTACAATGCAACTTCTACACCTAAGTTTCAGTGGTTATCATGGAAGAGAGGGCAGAAAGATTGGTAAGTGCCAAAGGGATAAGATATCTGCTGCTAGTTAATGCATTCTAGACATGACAGGGAAGCTACATCAATGAACTCTTCACAGTAAGGTAGTCTAATGAGATATGCATAATGTCAAAAACAGTTGACATTTCAAAGTGAATGGGGTAATTTCACAGGGGTCCACTTCAAGATGAAGAGCTATAGGCAAACAATGGATGATGAAGGAGGGAGAATCAGTTTTCTTCATGGACAAGTTCCCTGAGGGATTATGTAATCCCAAGTGGGCAGCCCTCAACACATGTACACATGAGTACTACTAAATGGACACAGTGCATTGTGTGTGTGTGTGTGTGTGTGTGTGTGTGTTTATAAATGTATGTGTATTGTTGGTGGTTTGAATGAGAATGTCCCCATAGGTTCCAAGTTTGGACATTTGATCCCCAGTTTGTGGTGCTATTTGGGGAAGGTCATGGAACCTTCAGGAGCTGTGGCCATGCTGGAGGAAGCACTCACTGGGGGCCGGATTTGAGATTTTTTAAGACTTATAAGATTTTCATCTTTCTGCTTCCTGTGCCTACTTGAAGATGTGATCCGTTGGCTTTCTGCTCCTGCCATTTCTACCCTGCCATTATGGACTCCAACCCTCTGAAACCGTAAACTCAAATAAACTCTTCCTTTTGTAAACTCTCTTGGTCATGGTGTTTTATCACAACAGAAAAGTAACTAGTACACTATGTAACAATAATCAAAAAAGAGGGCAAGAAAATGAGCGGGGCATGGGAGGAGTTGGAGTGGGATTGGGAAAGGTGGAAATAATGCAAATCCAATACTGATGGTTGAAATTCTCAAAAAATAGGAAAAATGTAATAGTACACTTAAAAAACAGAGAGCCGTGAATGGTGATGAAAGCTTATACAGAAAACACTGCAAGCCATGTGTCCGATACTAAATGATGCTTATTGGTATTAAGAATCTTAAAACCTCCCTCCATTTCAGTTTAACTTTGCATTTGCACATCTCTTCTCAATGAATACTACTTAAAAGGAATCTAACTCACTACTAGGTAGCTCTGCATCAGAAACATCTGTATTTTTATGTGCTTACAGTTTTTTCCCATATAACATTGAAACTTCAAAATCAATATTGATAAGCAACATCATAACATTACCACAAAACTCACCTTTCAATAGCAATAATATTTTTAACTCAAGAATATATAACATTCTAATTAAATACTTCATTTTGGATATTAATGAGTATGCTGTCTTCTAGATTTTATTTTAAAAATATTTTCTCATTGGATCACCACTGACACTACAATAAATAACAGTAGGTCAACACTGGAGTTTAAAAGTGCCACAGCAGTGAATGCATCTGGCTAATGAAAATTTTTATGCCATTACTCTCATTTCCAAAACACCAAAACATATAGACAGCCAAAGCAATTAATAAAGTTACAAAATAAAAACATGATTCTCTGGTATTCTAAGAATATGCTTATATTTAAAAATTTTTTGACGTGGGATTAATTGTAGTTGTTGCTATATGCAGATTTATTTAAGATGGTACATGAAGATATTAAATCTTGAGAGCTATTTGTGAAATAAAATTAAGCAATGAATAGTCTAAGGCATTAGTGTAAGTGTAACAATCTTGGCGGTTAAAATTCTACAAACTGGAAAGACAAAGTACCCTTATATGAATGAACAGAGAATGGCCATCTGGCCAACATTTTACACATTTGATATGATGATGTGTAACTTTTCTTTACATCATATCAAATCACACTATAGTCCACTATAATATTCCCATATGGCATTATAGTCCATGATGGACTCTTGCCCCTTTGTAGTTTAAAACTTGATTTGATATTTAAATATTAGAAGAACAGCATGGCCAGATTCCTGAAGACCTTAAAGAACAAACCACAAATGAACTCAATGTTAAAGAATTTCAAGTATTTGGTTGTTTGGAATTAAGACAATAAGTCAGTGAAAATCTTAGTTTCCAGACTATTTACTTCAGTTTCAACTTGGTGGCCAACAAATTCAATAGTGAAGGAACTACTTGCAGCTGCTATTTGCTCAAAGCCACTGCATTTTTCAGTCTGTTTACAGGCTCCCTCCCTTTTTTTCTGCCTAAACTGTGAATAAGGACTATGAAAAACACCAGAGAGTAGCAGCCAAAAGACAGGACTTGTGGTAGTTTGAATGAGAATGTCCCCCATAGGCTCCAAGTATTTGAACATTTTGTCCCCACTTGGTGGCACTGTTTTGGGAGGTCTCAGAAAGCCTGTCCACAAAGAAGCATGTCACTGGGGGCAGGCTTAGAGGTTTCTTAAGGTGTGGCCATGCTAGAGGAAGCATGTCACTGGGGATGGGTTTAGAGAGTTCTTAAGTCTTGCTGGATCTCCAGTCCTGATCTGCTTGTTCTGCCTGCTTGACTATGTGAGCACTTAGCCTCTGCTCCTATTCCAGCCTCTTCTGCTGCCATGCTTCCCCACCATGATGGACTCTTGCTCCTTGGGAATCATAAGCTAAATAAACTCTTCATTTTATTAGTTTCCTTGGTCATGATATTTCTATCAAAGCAAAGGAAAAGTCACTAATACAGGAGTGTTGAAGAAATAAACTTTAGATGGAATGTAGCTCAAGTGAGAAATGAGTGGAACACAGCCGGGCAGGAAAGAAGTCCTAAAACAGTATTGATGGTGAATATCTGGGAACTGTAGAAATCTGAAAAGGAGCAAGACAGCTCACTAAAATTCTATATGCCTGTCTAAGATGAACTTAATGATAGTTAATTAGAATCCATACATAAGAACATCTTGAAATTCCTTGTAAAATTCTGTTCACATGTACCTATGAGTACTTTTCTGAGGAGTAATCCTTAGCTTTCATAAAATTCTCAATGAGACCTTAGGTATCTAAAAATGACAAGCCCTGTGATCTCAGTGTCTCCACATATTCTTGAATGAACTGTGGAGTACTAAGTGATTCCCCTGGACAATCACACTTAGGATCAATTTAATATCTAAACCAATCCTTCAAGAAGAAACAATGCATCTCATCTTGGTTTAT